TAGAAATATTTAATATATAATAAATAAATTAAATTTTACAAATAAATAAAAATTTTAATTTAATATTTTACAATCATTATGAATAGTAAATTTCTTTTCAGAATAAATTTGATAGATGCTTTGATGATTATAAAATACTTGATATTTGTAAAGATGCTCAATCAAAAAAAACATTTGTTCCTGGAAATGTAGAAAGATCTTGAGGATTGGCGAAATCCATAATATCAACTACTCAAATTCCATCAGAAACTGGAATATCTTTTTCATCATTCTCAAGACTTAAAATTAATAAACATGCAAAATTTCTATGACCAGGAATAGTCATTAGCTTAATTTTAAAATTTAAACCCTCAAACAATTGAATATTTTTGTCTTCAAGAATAACAGTTGGACCTGTACTTCTATTTGTTTTTTCAAGATGAACTGACCTAGCAATAGACATATCTGAGCTAAAATTATAGAAAAATAAATAGATATACTTTATTTTGTTTATTTTTTTTTGAATACTTACTGATAAGCATAAAATTTAAAATTGTTTAACAAAATTATTTTTGTGGAATTTATTTATTTTATATTTAATACGTAACAAATTAATTCTATTTATAGAAAATATTCTATCTCCCTATAATTTCTTAATCCATTTCATACTAATTTTATTTAATTCTTTAGCTTTACTAAAATTTACAACAAGCTTAATAATTATAATCATCTCAGAAATTTCTAGTCTGACTACTTCTCGCTTTACCAGTCATTCCAACTTACCAATATTCAAATTAAATATTAATTATAACAGAGACTGAATTTCTATAAATTTCAATTTTCTTATCTAATTAAATTTAGCTTAGCTATTTAAAAAGAGTTAAAAATAAAACGCAAAAACTTCATATTATGATTAGATGTTACATATAGCATATATATAAAATAATATAAATTTTTGACAAAACTTCTTTCCGCCAGTGATAATCATAACTTTTATTAGAAGTGAACTGCTACATGCTAATGAAAAAGCTAATAACGTTCAAATTAAGTATAGCTTAGTATATAATACAAAATAAAATTTCATTACTCCATTTTTTTTACAAATATCGATATGAAATACTTGAAACACTTAAAATCGTTACAATATCATTTAATAGATTTTATTCTAAGAGAAGTAAGTATGTAAATAATTAAATTTTACTCTTTTATTTAATAAATATTGAACAAAACTACTATTTAATTCACTAATTCTTAATGATTAGAGTTTATTATTCATATTACTAGTAACTTGATCATGTACTAATTTAAATTCGATTGCTTCAATTTTAGTTTTAACCAATTTAGATAGAATCCATTCTATTATGTCATCATATCTTGTAGCTTTAAGTTAAAGCTCTTTGATACAATCATCAATATTCTTTTTTTACTTATCCTGTCTTCTGAGGATCACATGTTTGACACCAAGCTGGTCCTATATTCAATACATTGTATTCCATCTAACCACATTGCTAAATATCTTTCACTAATCTTTTGAACATTATTTAATCGATTAAAAGAAATACACTCGATCACTTTTTCATATTCTGTGGCTTTAAGTTGAAATT